TGGAGCTGGGATTCTCCCCCTGCCCCAGCCCCAGCCCCAGCCCGTCCTCAGGTCTTACCAACCAGATAGGCCCCGCAGATGGGGGCCTGGGAACGGGCGCTTTCTGCACTAGGTTATTTCTTTAGACCCTTCCACGGCCCTCCCTCCGGCGGGACACCGAGGAGGCCGGGTCCCACTGCGTCCTCTCTCTTGCAGCTCCTGACTATGACAGAAGCCAATGGCTGGATGTGAAATTCAAGCTAGACCTGGACTTTCCTAACGTAGGTGGCTTAGGAGGAGAGGGGCCAGGGGGGACGCCTGTCGCGCATATCCTGGCAGCTTCGCTCGCTGGTGGCCGGGGATCTGGAATTGGGATTCTCTCAACCTGTGTAGAAGAAATAGAATTCAGGGGTTCTTGAACTTGGATAGAGGAAAAAAAATTATTTCCACTAACCACTAACTAAAAGTGAACAGTTCCTTCTATTGCGAATATAGGCAATAAGTGGCGCTGGTTGTTAGCTATGTCTGTGACTGTGTCACTAGTAGAAATCAGGTGTTCCCATATTCTGTTGGGTGTGTTGTAGATGCTGTAAATATTTACAGTCGTCATACTTTGACGTTGTGGTGCTTATTGCACCCGCTCGTTATTTAATTCACTAACAGGCACATATTACTGTTACAGTTTTGCTTCTTAATGTTTTTGTAAATTGTGTAAATATGCGTAATTTGCTTTATGTGTTTAAAAACCTTATTCTGCAAAAGGGTCCGTGGCATGCACACACGCGCACACACATGCACAGAGCGAGATCACGAGCCCCCGTCTGAGTCAGGTGGGGACCCAGCCACTGCCTTCTACTTATTTGCTTCCTCCTAACACGGCACCTTCTCTTTCCTGTTCACTGCCCCGCGTGTCCCACCTGCCCCAGGAGAGGCAGGCGGTTCATTTGCCCTGTCCTTTGCCTTCCAGCTGCCCTACCTCATGGATGGCAAGAACAAGATCACCCAGAGCAACGCCATCCTGCGCTACATCGCGCGCAAGCACAATATGTGTGAGTGGGGTAGGACTGGCTGGTGAGGGAGGCCAGGCTGGCCGCTCACGGGGAGTGGATATGCCAAGAGTGATTTCTTGTCGTTTGGCCTACAGGTGGCGACACTGAAGAAGAAAAGATTCGCGTGGACATCATGGAGAACCAGATAATGGATTTCCGCTTGCAGCTGGTTCGACTCTGCTACCACTCGGACCATGTGAGTTTCCTCAGCAGGTTTGTTGTGTAACTCTGGTGTTGCCCCTTTTCCTTTCCAAACCCCTCCTTTCCATCCCTACCTGGAGGCAATGAGAGGAAGGCTCCCGGAGAAGGAGCCCCTAAGTGTCCCTCAGTGGCCTGGACCCCGATTAGCTATGAACATGATGACAGCTCCTCTTTCTCTCCCAGGAAAAATTGAAGCCTCAGTACCTGGACCAGCTACCGGGACAACTGAGACAATTCTCCTTGTTCCTAGGGAAATTCTCCTGGTTTGCAGGGGAAAAGGTAGGAAGAAAGGAAAGGGAGGCGATACCTTTCTGTCCCTGCAGGTACTCATGAGCTCCCCAGCCCTCACCATCTTATTGCCCCTCCAGCTCACCTTCGTGGATTTCCTCACCTATGACGTCTTGGATCAGAACCGTATGTTTGAGCCCAAGTGCCTGGATGAATTTCCAAATCTGAAGGCTTTCATGTGCCGCTTTGAGGTGATGGATGCTGCCAGCACCTTCCTCTTACAGAAACACTCACAGGCTCCCCCCAGCCCCAAGGGACCCCATTGTGGTAGATTCTCGCCCAACACTAGCGTTTGCCTAAAGGGATCAATGGTTGGGCCTGGTTTCTGTGCCCTGCGGGCTCTGTCTGCAAGAAGGGGGGGAGACAGGCAGCTTGTGAGTGTCACTGGTTTGAAATGGGTCTGTTGGCCGTGCTGGTCTTTACAAGGTTTCGTGTGCTCCCCTTCAGGCTTTGGAGAAGATCGCTACCTACATGCAGTCTGACCGCTTCTTCAAGATGCCCATCAACAACAAGATGGCCCAGTGGGGCAACAACAGACTGTGCTGAGCAGGAGGCCGACTCAACTGCTTCTGTCCCCTCTTGCCCCAGGGGGCCTGTGCTCTTTTCAATAAATAGCACTTGGGCTACTGGTGTCCCACTGGGTTTCTCTTGGGAGTAAAGGCTGAGAGGAATGATAGGGGAGAATTACCAAGTTGTGACTGTCCCTGCAGCATCGACACCCCCAACCCTCAATGGTGTTCAGCAGCTAGAGGGTCTTGCCCAAGCCTTGAGGGTGAGCGCTAGAAATAAAGGTGAGATTGCATAGGTTTAGGGAACAGGTGTGTTACATGGGACTGGAGCCCCTGGGAAGACCTGGTGATGACACCGGTAAAACTGTGGTGCTGTGTACTTAACAGAGCTGGAGTTCAGAAACAGACCCTCATCTGTGGGAACTTAGTGTGATGAAGAGTGTTTCAAACCCATGGGCTAACTGACAAACACAATGGGGACAGTTACTTAGCAATTGAAAATAATAGAACTCTCCCTCACACCACTCACCGCAATGAGTTCGTCTGGAATTTAAAGGCCCAGTGTGAAACACAAAGCTGGAGAAGTATTAATAAAAATGTAAGAATGTCTGGTCAGAGGATGGGAAAGTTCTCAATAAGACGAAAAAGCCATAGGAAAGACTTAAACAGTATCAAATCTTTAAAACTTTCCATAATAGTGCACAATAAGCAAAATAAAATAAGATTAAAAACAAAGGCCCAATGTAAAGCCTATACAGAAAACTCCTATGGATCATTAATACAATTCAGTTTTTAAAAATGTCCCCTGTCAACCAGCAGCCGAGGATCTCTCTGGGGAGGGAGGAACAGAGGGCCTCAGTGGCCAGGGACCAGGTAATGTCAGGGAGGATTAGTACAGACAAGACATGAAGCAGACAGTCTAACTCCCACCTTTTGCCACCAGTAGTCAGATATCCAAGCCAATGTCTTGGGTCTGGGAAGCCTTTGGCCAGAAAGTGTAAAGCTGAGAGTCTCTGCCATCTGACAGCTACTGAGGAACTTCCTTAGTGTGAGGGAGTGAAGTGTGCCCTAAGGGAAGGTCTTGTAATTGTGGGTGGGAGGGGTGCAGCAGAGAGGTTGAGGAAGCGCAGGCCTGCAGGTGAAATGTATATCCCATGAATTCCAGATAGGCAATGAACAAACCACGTGTTCCAGCTTTCCTAGTTATTAGGTGAGTGAAAATCTACTTAACAGTTCTTCAAAAACAATGATCTCACTCGCCCAGAGAGCAGGGAAGGCACTGAGAGGAACAGAGCCACCCCACAGGAGGTGGTTACCAGGCCCCAGCCCCCCACTGATTCCAGCCCCGGCCTGGGAGAGAGGGCTGTCACACGCCTGCCTCCGGGCAAGGAGGGGAAGCGGACGCCCTACCCTCCAGAGGCACAGAGGCTGCAAGTGTTGAGAAATGAAGTCTACTAGGGAAGGGCTTGTGCAAACAGCAGCACCAGTAAGAGCTTTAAAAAAAACAAACAAAACTTGTAATAGGAGAAGCTCCCCAAAAAGTGTTAGAGAGGCTCATTTGTATTCATTGTTGAGGGTTGAGCAACTAGATTAAGGCATTTCCCATTCTGAAGCCAATAGCTTATGTAACTCGAGAGAAATGCCTTGTAGCATTAGTTCATGGCTGGGATGGGTGGAGTGAGGGCCACTGACAGGTATGGACACGGGTCTCTGCCTTTCCAGCTAGCTTAAGGGCTCAGAACACCAGAGTCTGGACTTGGAACAGAAATCATATATCCCTTACCCTTCAGCGACAGGACTAGGTCGAGCAATGAGCCACACTGATCAAAAAGGGTTTAGGGGGTTCGGGGCGGGGGGGGGAAGAATTGGCACTTAGGCAGTGATTTTTTCCAATGTGCAAACTCGCTCATGTCACTCTCCTGCTTAAACACAATTAATGGATTCTTAAACCTCTGGGGGGGAAAATAACAATCTCTTCCAGTTAACAAAATCCTTCCTGATCTCTCCACTTCCCATCCAGCTACGTCTTGGCAGGTGCCGCCCTCTCCTGCCCTGGAGCACCGGTTCCAGCCTGTCTGAATTCCCAAGGGATCCACGCCGTCACTGGAGTCAGGCTGCTGGGTTCAGATCCTGGCTTTGCCACGAAAAACTGACCCCTGTGCCTTGGGCCTTCTCTGATCAATGCACACCCCCCCCCACTGGTTGTCATGAGAAGCCTGGAGTACCGAGAACAGCCCCATGTTCTATAAATATATAAATATAAGTTGTCCCAAAGCAACAGGTCCTCTTTTATCTTCATGCTTTTGTATTGCTGTTCTATGCCTGGGATACACATTTGCTCTGGCCCCCTTGGCCTGCCCAACACTATTCATCTTCTTAGGGAAGTGCAGAGGTCACTACCTCAGGGAGGCCACACTCAGTAACCCCTGCGGAAACCATTAGTGGTGGTCACCAACGATTTCCAGTGCTTTCCATTGGGGAAAGCTTCCCCACCCTCTTCAATTTAGGTGTAGCCTTGCAGCTTGCTTTGGCCCATGAAACCCGCATATTTTCCAGGCAGAAGCTTGAAGAGCCAGGCGTGTGTTGCCGCCGTATCTGCTTCCAGCAGCTGTGCTGACTCAGGCGGCAGGTGCCCAGCTGAAGCCTCCATCAGCCTAGGTCTCCGACACACCACAGGCAGCAGGGCCCCTGTTGACCACATGGGACCTGAAGCTTGAGTCGGTTAAAAAAGCGTGTATTAAGCCACTGAGCTTTGTTTTATCCTGACCAACATTCCCCCAGCAATCCCAGGCCAAGTTAAATGCACCAGTTTTAAATCTGTCCCCATAGCATTCAGCCTTTCCCTCAATCAGTACTTATCACACTGAGCTCTAATTGCTCATTTAAATGTGTGTCTCCACCACTAAACTGTAAGTCACCTGAGAGCAGGGACTGTGTCTTAAGCAGCGTTGTGTGCAGTGATTGTGTAGAGCCCGACACAAACCAGGCACCCACCCAGTGCACTGTTTCCCTTTGTTCTCATGAGAATTGGGACGAAAGAAGGGTTTGCTTCAAACAGGTGCTTGATGCTCTCAGAGCACTTTTTAAAATTCTGTTCTGTTCTGGTTGGGTGACAGAACACAGAGAAATGGCGTACCCTGTTCTCCAGACTTGTAGAGAGGGTTTAGGTAGAAGTGCGGGAGTCAAGACAGAAGTTCGGGTTCAGGAACCAGCAAAGAACTCGGAGGCTGGAGCGTGGGTCATGTCAGTCCATGGTCGCGCTTGCTCCTGGCTTAGGCCAAATTGAAACAAAACGCTTGTGAAAACCAGGATAGGCTCTTGGAGGCTTTTCAATGAAAATTATTATAGGTATCTCACGAGTGAGCTTTAAATACAGAACAAAGATTAAATGGATGCGTGTGTATTTGAATTTCGAGTGAGTAGGTGATGTTGCATGGCCCCACATGAAGACAGAGGGCCACCCCGAGGTCATTAGAAGGGTGTGTTCCCCAGGGTGCAGAGGGATGGAAATCCATCCAACAGGCTCACGTTCGCGTTATGTTAGAAGTTTGAGGAAACTAGAATAGGTCCATATTTTGTTTTCCATGGTGTAATGTTTCCATTGTATTAACATTTATTTTTTGAACTGTGACAGACCCTATGTGCTTCCTTCCAAGGTTTGTTTCCAATGGGAAGAGCCCTGGAAGAAGGTAGGAAATATGGGGGCCTGGGGCCTTTTGGACAGGACTCTGCTTTATCGGGGGAGTTGTTGGGGCTGTCCCCACAAAGTGGGAGCAGCCAGGTCTAATTAAGGAGGAACATAACGATTGGCATTTACAGAGGGAGTTGTCCTGGAATCCATCAGGATCAGCCCCTCTCATTCTCTGCTTCCCAGTCTTGAATTACCATGTGGCAGCAGGCAGGTGTCTCTGTGCCTGTCACCAATAAAGGTTTCACTCATCAGGCCCTGGGAGTTAGAAAAATATAAGCTAATGAAGTGGGGTGACAGTAAACCTGAAAGTGGAGACAAGAGCCAACCCAGAGATTGGCTGATGTCAATAAAAAGAAAAGCCTTATTTTGCAGCACCTCTTCTGAATCTTCTCACCGAAGGAAGGCACCCTATGAGCATCGTAAATAAATGCAGAGCAGTTTGCCTGCGAACCCGAGCGCAGGCTGCTTCCTGCTGCATCACAGAGCTCACCTAAGGGTCCCTCTTCTTCCACCTCCCATCCCCTTACTATTTTATATAGGGTGAATTGGGGGTCATTGACATGCTTTAGTCTGTCGTTTTCAAAATATCGATCTGAGTGTCACCCCAGAGATTCTCAAACTTGGAAGTGGGCACAGTGATTGACACTTTGGGCTGTCCCCGTTTGGAGCAAAAGAAGGTGGATGTTTTTGTCTGTACGGGGGTGGCTGCTTTGTGTTGGGTGGGAGCATTTTCTGGCAGTGGCTATCGTAATGACCGGCTGGAAATGCAGACAGAAAAGACTGTCTGCGGGGGGCATCTGTCCTCTTGCATCTTTGAAATCCCCCTTATAGGTGAGGAATTTCTCTTGTTCCGAGTCCCACCTCTGCCAGGTGGAAGGCTGCTTAGCTGCCTCTCAGCATTCACCTCCCCATTTTCTACTTGTCGCAGAACCTCCACTGCTGCTGGGCATGTTACTTCCCAGGAGAAAGATGTCATTTCCATAGAATTAGGCTCTAGGCCATGAGATATAAGTAGAAGTGTTGTGTGTCACCTCCAGGAAGTTTCCTTAAGAGGGAAAGAAGAGCCCCCACTCCTCTCTCTGCCTCCTGCTGTTTGGAACGCAGCCCTGATGGGGCTCTGGCAGCCATTTCGCACTATGAGGTGGCAGAGAATGGGGAGACCTCGTGCTGAGGATGCGGGAGCAGAAAGTTAAAAGGCTGAGCCTTAAGGCTACTATGAAGCCACCATTACCGTTGCTTAACTGTGCACCTTCAGATCTTTCTGCACAAGAGAAACAGCGTCTGTCCTGCTTAAGCCTCTGTTATTAGTCGTACCCAGTGGAACTTAATCCTACTGATTCACTGGTTCTTCCAGCCTCCCCGTGGCTCTGAACTGCACACAGGGGTGCAGGACTTCAGTCTTCTAGAAGCAGGCCCTGGGAACTCGTTTTCTAACAAGGGTCAGGACTCTGGAGGCAGCTGTGATCAGACACTTGCACCCCATCTACGTGTCAGGGGTAGGGCCTCGGGTGTCTGTGCCCAGCAATGGTTGTGGGGTGTCCTCCAGAACAATCCCACAAGTAAGGCCTGCTTCCTGGTTAACCAGCCTTCCAGGTCAACCCCCTGGCCTCCCAGGGATTCCACGAGCTACCTGATACCCCTAAATAAATCCTTCCCCCCCCCCCTTCAGCAACCAGAAAGCGATGTGCCACTCCCCTTGGGTGTATTTGAAAATGAGATCTTATTCTTAATACCTTAGCCTCCAACCTGCACACCTTAAACGACTGGCTTAACACCAAGGTTTCCTCCGGACGGGGCCTTAACTTTTATGCTCCCTTTTCGGGGTGTGGGAGCGACTGCAGTTGGTCACCAAAATCCACTCTTTTGAAATATGGGTCTACCCCTGTGTCCAGGTAGAGCCTCACGTCTGAACCTCTGAACCTCGGGACTAGAACATGAACGACTGTGACGTATGCGTTTTGGGCCTCGCTTGCACAGGGAGTTGTTTCTTGGGTTTTCTCCGTTTTCCTTCCCATACCCATGACATAGCCTCAACCAAGGAGATGGAGAAGCACCCTAGGGGATGTCAGAGCCACAGGAAGGAAGGAGCCCTAGTCCCTGAATAACTTCATGGAGCAGTGCTGCCCCAACAGCCTGTGTTACCGGGGAGAAGACAAGACCTCAGTTCTTGTCATTTTTTGTTAATCTTCACCCCAGGATTTTTTTTCATTGATTTTTGAGAGAGAGTGGAAGGGAGGGGGAAGAAACAGAGAGAAAGAAACATCATTGTCAGAGACACATTGATTGATTGCCTCCCACACACGCCCCAACGGTCTAGGGATCGAGCCTGCAACCAAGCTACATGCCCTTGGCCCGAATCGAACCCGAGACCCAAGCGTCTGCGGGCCGATGCTCTAACCACTGAGCCTGAGCCAAACCAGCCAAGGAGGTTCTTGTCTTCTTGAAGGAAAGTTTTCCATCAAGAGGCAAAGTGTAGAAAAGTAAGAATTTATTGATTGAAGCAAAAATAGACTTAGGACAGTGAAACAAGGAAGGGCATAGAAGCAACAGGAGAGCCAAGGCTGGGATGCCTTGGCTCACTGAGGTCAGAGAAAAGGGGGCCTTGGCGACAGGTTCAGGGGGTTAGCCAGGGGCGAGCTGCCACTGCTCATTGCTCCCCTGGTTGCAAGTGTCGTGGGGTCCACTTAGAGGGAAGACGGGAGAAGGGAATGGCAAGCGCGTGCTCCCCTGGGTCCTTCACCCTGAGCCTATTTATCTCTTTCTTGCAGGTGGAACTCTTAGGGGAGGTCTCAGGGGAGGGTCTCAATAGAATATTCATCAGCTTTCCAGGTGTGCTCTTTCAGGGTCATGGTCTCCGCTGATTGGCCAGAGCCAGGGCAGGGGATTATGAGGTTCTTGTTTTCCCAATTTTGCCTTGGCATCTAGGGCTTTCTGCCCTGGTGAGTTTCTGTACCTGGCTCGTCTTTGCTCTGCTCATGTCTGCCTAACTGCCTATAACACCTGCATTATTCCCCATGGAACATGAAAAAAGAATGAATTTCCATTTTCAACCAGCTTTGCCTTTCTCTGCAGATACAATAACAATGGCAGGGAACTTGTAATTAACCACAGGTGATTGCAGACCCACGGAGGGAACCCTGATGCCACATTCTCAGAGTGTCCTGTGTTTCCTTTCTCGAAGGGGAAGACACACCCCAAACGATGTCTGAGCACTGTCACAAGGCACCAAAGTATTCCTAGTCTTGGAACCTCTGCTGGATCCAGCCACAATCAAATCTTCTTTTCGGTTGCCTCAGTTTTGTGGTCGGCAGACAGACATGAGCAGATCAAGGATGCTGGGCCAGGTATCAAAGGTCACCAGCGTGAAAAGCCCTGGATGCCTAGCAAAGGACAAGTGTGGGGTGGGACCTCACCCCCAGGCTGACCTTTCCTCCCCTAGCATATCCCTGGTCGTGGGTTTGGACCCCCTGACCTTTCCTCCCTAGAGAGAACATTAGGCCTCAATTGTATTTCAGCTTCAGGCCCAGAAAAACAACAAAGCCAGAAAAGTGACCTCGGGCTGACCTCAGGACCAGCTGCATTGGATAATGACCCCCTGCCTCGGCACTGACCAATCAATCCGTGGAGACCTAGACCCTGAAAGGACACACGTGGAAAGCTGCTGAATATTATAATGAGATCTTTCCCTGGGACCGCCCCTAAAATCTCCACCATTAAAACCCTTAGGAGCATGGCCCGCTGCCTTCCCTCACCTCTTTCCCCTCCCCTTCCTCCAGGTGCCTCACATTTACCTTCCTCACTTCTAAGCTCCAAGGGTCCGCCCTTTGCCTCTCTAACTTGTTTCCTAAGCCCATTTCTTCTAGGAATTACTCCTTCCACTTCTGTGATTTTATAAATAATTGTTCTGCTATAGCTTGAGTCTTGGCTCTGAATTCTTTCCTAGCCAGAACTCAAGTACTGAGGTTGCTGAGCCCAGGTCCGGTCTGACCCCACCTGCTTAACACCTGGTGCTGTTCCCACTGCCCCCAACAGTTTGAAGCACATACATTCTACTACTTCTGCGCCAGACTTTAAAATACTTAGCTTTTATAATTCTGACCACATTTTAAAAATTGTTTTCATTTGCGACTGTCTTCGTTATCACATCTTCCCTCCTTTTTAAGGATCGAATTCTTTTGTTCTTTATTTCTTTGATAATCACCTATTACGTCTCAAAGCTAATATTTAGGCTTTAATGTAGCTACGCCCTTTTAATCTGAGCTCCTAGATCAGGAGTCCGGAAGCTTCGGCCATCTGTGTTTGAAATACTGTTGGAATGTAGCCCCGTTCATTTGTCTGTTGGCTTTCACACTTCAATAGGTAATTGACGGAGACCACATGACCCAAAAAGCCCAAAGTATTTACTATCTATGCCTCTACAGAGAACACTTGCCAACCCCTCTTCTGGACCTACATCTATTTTACTCAGGTTTAATATTTTTATTCTCTGCTTATCTTTTATCAGTGTCACTCCTAGTTTCCACTACTGCTCTTTTTCGTACTTACCCCTCCTATCTTTAAGTTAAAGTTTAATAAGCTTTTGGCTTAACTAATTTTTCTTACCCGTTTCGTAAACTTTGGTTAGCTTTGCTGAACTTTTATCTTACCAGTTTTATCTTTTTAATCATTGATTTCTTAATGACTTTCATCATGATTCCCATGGCTCCCTTTTTATTTACTAACTTTTAGAAGTCCAGTTGCAGGCAGAGATCATCTGGACAGATGCCCAACAAGACTCTTCAAATCTCCCCGGTTGCGAGCTGAGTCTCAAGGTTATGCCTTAGTAAGGCCCAGCTCCACTCTCGAGGCAATATTTGAGGACCGTGCTGATCAGGCAACTGTCCCAAGAACCCTCCACCTTTAAAGGTGTCCTACCATCAATGCCCACACCACCTTCTGACCGCACAGGCTGGCGAGCCTCTGGCCCAGCACACAGGCCTACTGAGGTCAGACGTCAAGTTATTCAAAGAGCAGCTAAAGCCTATTAAATGCTTAAGGTAGAAAGAGCTAAGGGCTCATCCTCCCAGGCCTGTACATTTGAAATCTTCTGAGCTTTATTTTGTACCTCTGGTGCCTGAGATGAACTATATTCAGAGCTCTAAATCCCAAGAATGGTTGTAGAGTTTGCCAGGGTCTTACTAGAGCTAATTCAGATTTCCAACTTTCGTAGAGTAAACGTTCAGGCAGTGTGATAGATATCAGAGATAAAAAGTCCAATAAGAAATGGATTCTCTCCTCAGTGAATTTCTGATGAGGATGGAGAGGAAAACAAGTCAAACGGCAATAGCACAGCGGGATGCATTTTATTGAGATATGTTGTAAGAGCACAGGAGAAGGGGGCCTGCGGCAGGGAATACTTCCAGGAAAGGTGACAGAAGGCAGGCCACTAGGATCCCACACCAGCAGCGGACGGCTCAACCCCCTTCCCCACCCCAAGAGCCTCTTGCACAGTGACACAGAGGACTACGAGCATACAGGAGGCATTCCACAAATGCTGAAATGAAGGAGAGGCGCGGGCACAGGAGCACCCTCTTCTGTAGAGACCCCAGGCTGAGGCACACGGAACATGAAGAGATCTAGGAATGAGAAACAAACCTTATGCTCCTCCCCGCCACCACCCCTCACATACATCCACACTACCCAGCTGGTATGGATGACAGAGGGAAAACAGACACCCCCAAACCCCAACACAGTCAGTCAGAGTCCAGGGGCCCAGAGGCAATAAAGCAAGCAGGTGCGATTAGGCTTTGCTGGGGATCAGGCAGGGCTGGACCACTCGGGGGAGCAGGGCCTGCACGCCCAGGCAATAGTGGTCTTCAGGGCAGTGGTGGGAGCTCAGGGCTGAGCTCTCCAGGCCAGGAGTCCGGTTGGGCTCCTCGAAGCAGAGCAGCCAGTGAGAGGAAGGTCGGTCTCACTGGATTTAAAGCAAGAGAGTTAATGTGGGAGGGGCAGGAACATCACTGAAGTGGGGACCTGCAGCTTAAGGGCCTGGATGGAAAGGGGGTTGGGAGGCAGATAAGGGGCCAATCAGGCATCTGGTGAGGGGGGGTGGGGAGAAGGGATTGAAAAGAAGCAAAGCAGAAGGGTCTAAGAATGCAGAAATGTCCAGCTGCCCTCCAGGGCCGGCTGTGCTCCCCGCTCCCGTCTCCTGCACTTACGGGCCCTACTTGTTGCCCCACATGGCGGCCTTGGAGTACACGGGTGTTCGGCGGAAGCGGCTGGACTTCATGTAGGCGGAGATCTTCTTCAGGCCCTGAGGGGGGAAAGGAGGCCAGGCCTCAGGGTCTGCTGCCCCACCTGGCCTGTGCAGCCCCACTCCAAACACTCCAAGTTCAGGGTCCTGGCAAGACCCCCTTGTCGGGTCAAGCACGGGGCATACAACAGTCTTCCTGGGGTTCCCAACTCTGCTAAGTTAACTCTTCCAATTTCCTGTACCTGATGTGATATCTTAGTAGGAGTTACAACATGTGAGACTCTACGCTGTGCTGGGTGCTTTATATCCATGAGACATTATGATACGGGTTTAGAACCTGCACACCACTGCCTACAAGATAGGTTCTGCTATCATTTTTCAGAAGTGAAACTGGGCACACAGAGCTCAAGCCCCTTCTGCAAACTCACACAGCTTAGTAAACGGGAAGGGCTGGAAGGCAGCCTGGCTCTCTCCCATTCTGTGCTCCTGCTGCTGCTCTCCCCTCCTCCCCTCCTCCTCGCCCCTCCTCTCCCCCTCCCCTCCTGTCCCCTCCCACACAGGAGCCTTGACCCTCAGTCTGTACAAACAGTCTCCTTTCTCAGAGGGAGGCTCCTAGCCTCCCCGGGCTGCCCAAGGAGGGACCCCAGGCAGAACAAAAGAGCTCAGACTGTGCAGCTCGCAGGGGAGGCCAGATCTCAACCAATGACTCAGCAAAACGGGGCTGAAAGCTGATAGGAGGCTGTGCAGCAGGAGAGCAAGGCCAGGCCCTCAGGAGTCCCCTGAAAGGAGAAAGTCCAGCTGCCTGGCCTGGCTCCTGAGCCCGGTCTCAAGCTCACTGCGCCCGACCTACCTCAGCCCTGTCCTGCTGCAGCCAAGCAGGCCTCAGACACACGGGGGGGTGAGCCCCATCTTCCCACCACAGGCAGCGCCCAGGAACTTCTACAGGATTCAGAGGCCCTGGGACTGACCGCCTGTAACCAAGGCCTGGCCACAACAGGCTGCAGCCTGCAGCCTGCAGCCCACAGCTGTCCCCTATCCCTCCCGGCCCGTCACTCATGCCACCTCTTGCATAATGTCCAAGGCTGATCACCTGGACCAGAACCAGAGCTGATGAGAAGCAGCTGACAACGCAGATCTCTTGATGGAGGGTGGAAGGGAAAAAGATTTAAGATGAACACCTCCTGGGCTAATAAGGCCTCAAGTTCCCAAATCTGTATAAAGCTGACTTGGTCCGCCTGGGAGTTGACCAAGGATAACCGATGATGAGCTGTGAGGTGAGGGCGGCCTGTGCACCGCCACCACCCAGGCGGAACCTCAGCACCACACAGCTGGGACTCTGTGCTTCTCCACTGCACTGAGACCCAGGAGGCGGCGCTCCAAGGCTGGGTCACCTAGCATCCCCTCTGTGCCTGACACCAGGCCTCATACAGAGCAGAAGGGCACATCAGTGAATGTGACTGAAAATAAACGGAACACCTCACCTCTGAGACAGTATCTTGGATAACTGGACAGAAGGAAAGGGAGAGGGGAGGGGAAGGAAAGTGCCCACCACAGGAGACATCAAGATAAAATCCTCCCGCAGGGGGCACCCACATGTGTACCCAGATCCCAGCACCGACCACAGCCCGGGAATCTCGGTACTGCCCAAGGGGATCCCACTCTGCAAAGCTGTCTGCAGATAGCAAGTCAATACTGTCTGTGTCTTCGGCACTTAATATCATTCCTACCATGTCTCACCTCCACTAATTACGCTACATACAAACTCCTGAGCCTTCTGCTTCAGCCAGAATGTCCTGAGCTGTGACCCCAGGCTGGAGAAGGACCTGAGCTCGTCTTTCTGGCACAGGAAAGGGGGGGCACTGACTACTGCCCAGGGAGGCCAATGCTGACTGGGAACCCCACACAGCTTGTACTTGCTCTGTGGCCTTGAGCAAATGACTTACCCTTTCAGCCTCATTTCATTATCTGGAAAAGAGAGGTGATAAACCTTCCACCAGGTAGGAATGTTGTAAAGATTAAATTGAATATATGTAAGTTACTGAACACAGATCCTAGCATAAAGCAAACCCTCAATGAATGCTAGTTAAGCTTCTTTTTGGCTCCAGGACTAGCAAAGCATCAAGGATAAGAGGGAAGACGAAAGACATAAAACAGAAAGAGGATCCATGGCATCACCTCAAAGCGGGCCATGAAGTCCTTCAGGTTCGGGAACGCATCCAGGCACTTGGGCTCAAACATTCGCAGCACATCCAGTAAGTCATAAGCCAGGAAATCCACGTAGGTGAGCTGCAGACAGGCAAAGGACGAATGGGCACTAAACTCTGAAACTGGGAAACTGTCAGATCCCCCATCCCAAAGCCTTCCCCTTACCTTGTCCCCTGCAAACCAAGACCTCTTGCCCAGAAACTGTGAGAAGAGCTTCATCTTTTCAGGGACCACCTTCAAAAACTCAACTTTCTGTTTCTCCTGAGACACAAAACAGCTGTCACCACCCTCAGACACAGGCTCCTGGGCAGACAGGCAGGCCTCCCAGGGCTGTTCCTGACCCCCACCTGCCACGGATGAGCAGCCATGCCCCCCAGCTGCACCTGGGTCAGTGCCCAGTTTATCATTCAATCCAACCTGTGTTCATTAGACCCAGGATGCTGGGAGAACATGCAGAGCCCTGGACTCAGACATCAGGCAGAATGAAAGACACAAAGAACTAATGTGTCCTGGGGCAGAAATTATAGGTTCCAGTTGGTGGGTGACAGAGTGGACACTGAACACTTTCTAGCCAGATGGGGAGAATCTGAGAGGCTGAAAGAGGGAGGGAGAGGCACAGAGGCCCTGTGGGCACCCCACACTGCCTACTGGGAAAATGTGCTGATGCCCAAAGGTGTCAAGGAGGCAGTGCTGGGCTAAGAAGCTGAACACATGGTAAGAAACTGAACTTCCACCCTGGGGAGTCTGCACTCTATCCTAAGATTGAAGGAAACTTAGTCAGAAATTTCATTTGAGGCACCTGGGGGTTATGAGGGTCACTCTGCTGANGTCTGCACTCTATCCTAAGATTGAAGGAAACTTAGTCAGAAATTTCATTTGAGGCACTTGAGGGTTATGAGGGTCACTCTGCTGACAGCATAGGGACCAGCTTGGAGGATCAGAAGCTCCAAGGAGTTCAAATGGCAGCAGGATCAGCACAGATGGGACACAGAAGTCTAGTCTCCTATCAAAATTTGTCCAGCCCAACCCTGCCAGAGGGAACTCACAAAGTCAGGGCTGTAGCTGGTCCTAATGTTGTACATTCGGAGGTCCATAATCTCGTTCTCCAAAATGTCCACATAAATCTTCTCCTGTTCTGTCTCCCCACCTAGTGACACAACAGAGACTCCCTCAGCATCCCACCCCAGCCAGCCCCAGGGGCATGGCCACCTGTCCCCCTGCACCCACCCACAGCCCCACTCACAGAGGTTGTGCTTTCGAGCAATGTAGCGAAGGATGGCGTTGCTCTGGGTGAGCTTGTGGGCCCCGTCAATTAAGTAGGGCAGCTGGAAGGGTAACAGGGGCAGGTCAGGGGGCCACAGGCTCCCCTGAAACCACCCCCTGCATTTGGAGCAGACATGAAACCTGGGCTCAGTGTCTGGCCCACAGTAGGTACTAAGCAAATATACCATAAAATTAAAGAATGAGCTGGAACACAGAGCAT